AGACAGACAGACAGACAGACAGAAGACAGACAGAGACAGACAGACAGACAGACAGACAGACAGACAGACAGACAGACAGACAGACAGACAGACAGACAGACAGACAGACAGACAGACAGACAGAAGACAGACAGACAGACAGACAGACAGACAGACAGACAGACAGACAGACAGACAGACAGACAGACAGACAGACAGACAGACAGACAGACAGACAGACAGACAGACAGACAGAAGACAGACCACAGACAGACAGACAGACAGACAGACAGACAGACATACAGACAGACGACAGACAGACAGACATACAGAAGACAGACATACATACGACATACATACATACATACATACATACATACATACTACATACATCATACATACTACATACATACATACATACATACTACATACATACATACATACATACATACATACATACGCATGCATCAAGACATTCAATAATACTTAAATCATCGCATAAATACATACCTTCCGTTATTCATTAAAAGACAAATTTGTTATATGAATAACACAAAATAAATACAAACAAATAATTTGTTTCAGTGCAAATCACACGTATTTTCATTTGTGTACTCTTTTATTTTTTCACTACAACATATGCGATTTAAGCACTCTCTCGCTGGCCACCACTGGTTTAGACTATCCCACCATATTTGAAGAAATAAGTTCTCTCATGTCTTAAATAGAAAAACCCCAAGATTTAAACAGCTTAAATCTGTTACAATTGCAAGATTTATTGAACATTACAAACGCCATTTTTCTTTATATTTTTAAAGCGCCCTATGATATGCTTTAGCGATATTTAATAATTTGTGCGAAAGATTTAAGGAAATTCAACTAATATTTGTGCAAAATTTTGTATCAATAGTTTTATTTGGTAATGAATAATGAGCGTTTATGAGATTTTCGTAAGAGGACCTTGTATGGGAGCTATGACCAATTATGTAACATTAATGTATATATAGACAAACTTTTCATTATCAATATTTGGTAATGAATATTGAGCATTAAGTGATTTTCTTGTATGGGAGCTATGGCCAAATATGGACCGATCGTGAAAAAATTTGATTTATGTATATGATTTATGTATATAAGAGCAATATTTGTGCTAAATGTATGTATATCAATATTTGGTAATGAGTTATGTGCGTTTAACTGATTTTCGGGAGGGAACCTTGTATGGCAGCTATGACCAAATATGAACCGGTCGTGAAAAAAATTTTGAAATAATATTTCTGTGTACAAAAATAGTATTTATGATATATGGGATCTATGAAATTCTCTATATGAATTCTATTGACATGGAATTTTAATTTGTAAAATTTTGTTAAGATATCAACATTCTGAGGGAAGTTATTAACAATAAACTCATTTTTCGGGAATATGTACTTTCGTATGGGTGGTATAAGAAATTGTTGACCGATTCGGGCAATTTTCAACAGGAATAAAGCTCTTGTGTAAAAACAAATGTATGATGATTTTGCATAGTTTTAGTGAAAATTACATCAGAATGTGTAAAAAATGCTAATTTTTTTCGAAGTGGTTTTAAATTTTGATTCATAACTTTTCCCGATGTAAACCGATTTTGTTCTTTTTCATTACCAAACTGCCTGGGACAATAGGGAATGTTCTGGCAAATTTCAATAATTTATTTCACTTCGTTTTTACGTGAGCGTATTTTACACAGACAGACAGACAGACGTTCGGACGGTCATAGATAAATCGACTCAAAATTTCATAAGGACCAAGAATATATATGTATACTTTGTTGTCATTCCGTGTGTAACATACGGAATGACAAAGTTATATATACCCTCTCTCACCACTGATGGTGGTGGAGAGTATAAAAAATTAATATTTAAAGTTGTATGCCTACAAAACATATATTACAGCAAACATAATTGCTTTTTATACCCTTCACCTTCGTGAGAAGGGTATAATTTCTACAATATAATTTTTCAACCCTATAAAGTATATGCATATGTATATTCTGGATCCTTATAGATAGCGGATTCGATTAAGCTATGTCTGTTTGGGACCTCAGTCTTTAATAATTCTATCTGACATGCTTTCAAGAAGTTTCCTATTTAAACTCAGCGAAATCGGTTCATAAATATCGGAGATATGAGCAAAAAACTGAGACAACCTCTAAAAATTTCGTCAAAAAAAGTTTTTTATGCATGAAAACATCGTATTTGCTTGTTTAAATAAACCGCTGGAAACAACAACGTTTAGTATTTCTGTTTGTTGTTTTGAATTTATTTCTTTGTCACAGATATCGGAAAGCATTTATGAACGAAATGCGATTTTGTTGGAAAAATTAAAGAAAACAAGTTAGAGTGCTATATTCAGCTGAGCCGAATCTTAAATACCCTCCACCAGCTACTTTTATATTAATACTTTTCTAATTGATCAAATATTTGTAGAAATAAGTTTTCTCATATCTTAAATAGAAAAATCCCTAGATTCAAACAGCTCAAATCTATTACAATTCCAAGATTTATTGAACATTACCAACGCTTGGCGATTTTTATTAATTTGCATGTATGCATGTGTGTGAAAGATTAAAGGATTTTCAAAATAGATATATATATTTTTTTTTTTCTACACAAATTGATAATGCAACTAGTTAAATACGGTTTTAGGGGCAGGACCTAGTATGGGAGATATGACCAATTATAGACCGATCGTAAAAAATTCTTTAAGCAAAACTTCTGGACATGAAAGCTATATTTCAGTAAAATTTTGTATCTATATCGTAATTTAGTAATAAGTAATGTGTGTTATGAACCGATCGTGCAAAAATCTTGAAATAGAATTTTTGTATCAATAGCTTTATTTGGTAATGAGTAATGTGCATTTAAGAGATTTTCGAAAGAGGACCTTGTATGGGAGCTATGACCAATTATGGATCGATCGGAAAAAAATTTCACAGTAATATTTCTGTATGTGAGAGCAATACTTGTACCGAACTATATATGGATATTTTAATTTAGTAATGAGTGACGTGCGTTTGAGTGATTTTCGGGAGGGGACCTTGTATGGAAGCTATGACCAATTATGGACCGATAGGAAAAAAAATTCCACAGTAATATTTCTGTATATGTGAGCAATACCTGTACCAAATTTTATGTGGATATCTTAATTTAGTAATGAGTTATGTGCGTTTAAGTGATTTTCGGGAGGGGACCTTGAGTGGGAATTATGACCAATTATGAACCGATCGGAAAAAAATTTTACAGTAATATTTTTGTGCATATGAACAATACTTGTACCAAATTTTATATAGATATCTTAATTTGTTAATGAGTTATGTGCGTTTAAGTGATTTTCGGGAGGGGACCGTGTATGGGAGCTATGACCAATTATGGACCGATCAGAAAAGAAATTCTCAGTAAAATTTCTGTATGTGAGAGTAATACATGTACCAAATTTTATATGGGTATCTTAATTTTGTAATGAGTTATGCGCGTTTAAGTGATTTGTATGGGAGCTATGACCAATAATGGACCGATCGGAAAAAAATTTCACAATAATATTCCTATGCAGATGAGTAATACTTGTACCAAATTTTATATGGATATCTTATGTAAGTAATGAGTTATGCGCGTTTAATTGATTTTCGGGAGGAGACCTTGTATGGGAGCTATGACCAATTATGGACCGATGGAAAAAAAATTTCACAGTAATACTTCTGTATGTGAGGGCAATACTTATACCAAATTTTATATAGATAACTTGATTTAGAAATGAATTATTTGCGTTTAAGTTATTTTCGGGAGGGGACCTTGTATGGGAGCTATGTCCAATTATGGACCGATCAAGAAAATTTTTTCTCTGAATGAATTCTATTGATATAAGATTTTTATTTGTAAAATTTTGTAAAGATTTCGACATTGTGACGGAAGTTATTAACAAAAAACCCATTTTCCGGGAATATGTACTTTTGTATGGGAGGAGTCAAGCTCTTGTGTAGAAACGAATGTATGCTGATGTTTATGGAATTATCTTTCATAGTTTTCGAGAAAATTACACCAGAATGTGTAAAAAATGCTTATTTTTTTCGAGGTTGTTTCAAATTTTGATTCATAACTTTTCCCGGTGAGAACCGATTTTGCTCATTTTCAATACCAAACTGCCTAGGACAATAATAAATATTTTGGGTGAATTTCGTTAATTTTTGTTGCTTCGTGTTAACGAGAGAATGTTTTATACAGACAGACAGACAGACGGACGGACGGACGGACATAGCTAAATCGACTCAGAATTTCATAAGGTCCAAGAATATATATACTTTGTTGGGTCTCAGATGAATATTTCTTGGTGTTACACACGGAATGACAAAGTTATATATACCCTCTATCACCACTGATGGTGGTGGAGGGTATAAAAATCTTAAATTTAACACCATGGTGAGAGGAATATAAGATTCGGCACAGCCGAATGTAGCAATCTTACTTGTTTTATCTCTTTTTGCCTCTTCAGGGCCATCGAACCTTTTATACAACACACACACACAATGTTTCCATACAAATTCATGTGCAATATTTATTATTACATCATGTTTTGAGAAAAAAAGTTTTAATACATTTTAATGAGGTTTACGATATATCAATTTCAGTTAATAATATATGGGCAATTCCATGAAAAGGTAAACCACGAAAGATAAATCATCAAAATTTCGTGGATGATCTTTTGTTCGGCCAAATGCCATGGCTGTTAAACATTGTTTAAATCGAGAAATTGTAAAATGTTTAATATTCTTGAACTAGTTCAAAATTTTAAAACAAACCATTAAAAAGTGCCTCCCAAGGACCTTTTATATGAAGTAAAAATTTCATAACATCCCTTTGAGTGGAATGTGGAAAAAGAATGGAAAACCCTTAAAAATGGCCTTTTTATCGCAGTATAAAAATTTTACAAAACGGTATTTTTAGAATGATCAATAACTTATACACGGACCACCCTAATATTATTACTTATGTATGTACATATATTCGTACCTGCATTGTGAATGTCTTCCCACAGCCAGTTTGTCCATATGCAAAAATTGTACCATTGTAGCCTTCAAGAACATTATCAACAAGTGAATAACAGGCTTCATTGTATAGTAATTCCGTACGTTCCAATTCACCATACACGCTGTCAAATGTAAAATTTTTGGCTGGAGCTGTGCAATCTGATGGGTTTGTTACCGACACTGAACATTTGTCCACAGATACTATATTCTTAAAAAAAAAAAAAATTAAATAAGGAATATTTGTTATTTATTTATTTATATATATATATATATATATATATATATATATATATATATATATATATATATATATATATATCTATATATATATATATATATATATATATATATATATATATATATATATATATATATATATATATATATTCTGACTGATGCATCATCGCTGCCATGGAATTTTGACAGTAGATGTCTTTTTTTTTTTTTGCAAAATTTTTCGTTTTGGTGTAAAAACGGAAAAACAAGTAAAACTGGTTTTCTTATTTATCTTACACATTTTTTTTGATGCAAGAAAAATTTTTGGGAAATTCGAACTTTTAAGTGGTGAAAATGTGTAACAAAGGTGAATTTGGTACCTTTTTTGCCCTTTATAACTTTTTAACTAATAAACATAATACAATTTTTGTAAATATTTTTAATGTATCATCCAAAATTATGAGAACATATTTCGTACTTTTTTAAATTCAGTCCTTTTTGGTTGTATAAGGGAGAAAACTGTATGGGTACTTCTTTAGCATTTTAAGAATATTTTTCGACTTATTGCAGTATAACTATTAAATTACGTATTAACTCGGGTAAATTGTTTGGTACTTTTTGAAAGCACAATTTTTGGGGAACAAATGAATTTGAATCGTTTGAGCTTTGTAATATACAAATCAAAGCTCTATGTGAAAATTTTGTAAAACTCATAAACACACGAGAAAAAACTCCAATCACAATTAACTTGTAAAAACAAATTGTACTGTATTGGGAGTGGGCTATTTAGTAGAGAGAATACTGCGGGAGCCTTTAAATGTTTAATTACACTAGTTATTATAGACTCCCTATTTTGTGAGTGATAAAAAGGTGTCAGGACCAGGCTAACTAGACTAATGAATACAATCGAATTTTGCCCCAAATCTAGTCATTTTGAAAGTAAGAAAAATGTGCTGATGTTAACCGATAGACTCTTAAATATGTATCTCTAGATGATGGTGTTTGAGATACGGCCTCAAAACCCTCTCCTTCCATAATATCCTAGGCAAATTAAAGAAATTTAAACTTTCAATTATACATTAAACTATTCGTTCCATTTGAAAAAAAACACCCGAAAATTTTAAATTAGAATTCCATTTTACAAAAATTATTTATTCAACCCATTAGGCCTGTTTATAAATTATAAAATAGATTAAATTTAAATAAAATGTTCTATTTGAAACGATTTAAATTAGCTTTCAATAGAATTATAATGCAAATGAACTATTTGTTTCACATTCAGCAAAGACAAAATCTTAACATAGGGTTCACAAAAGTTTAAATCACAAATATCTTTCTTATTTTAAAGAGTAATAATTTTGGCAAAACAAAAGGAAACTAAGAAACAAAATTCAACAATTAAATGTTTGTTATCACTAAGAGATTTAATTCAAGAATCAACATAATTTGCAAAAGAGATCCGTTTAATTAAGCAATAACATTATAGTGTGTGTGTGGTTGTTTTGATTAGACAAAACAAGTCAGAATGCTATATTTGGCTCTGCCGAATCTTGCAAATCCTGCAAACTACATTTTATGAAAACCCAATATAAATATGTTATAAATGGTTAAAGTTATAGGGCCAAATTTATATTTTATACCAAAGAAATCAATTTTACTTAAGTATTAAAATACATACTAAGTACGAAAGTACTTTATTTTCCTTATGGAGAACTGTAAAACCCGGCACATGTTTTGTTTCCGTAATTAAGATACTATTTATCATTTTATAACTTCTTTATGCATGTATATGTGTAACTAATTTTGATTAGGCCCAGAAACATTTGTATTAAGTGATTTTCAGATACCGACCGATTATCTTTCGACCTATTATGTGCCGATCGTGCCGATAATTTATATGGGAACTATGACCAATAATGGACCAATTCGAAAAAATAATCAAAATGATTTATCTATACACAGAACATACTCATGTCGAGTTTAATAATAAATTATGGGGCATTAAGTGGTTTTCAGAAGTGAACCTTATATGGGAGCTAGTTATGGACCGATGCTGAAAAAATTCCTTATATGGAATGTAATCAATTATGGACCGATGTGGAAAATGTTCACGAATGATATATATATATATATATATATATATATATATATATATATATATATATATATATATATATATATATATATATATATATATATATATATATATATATATATATATATATATATATATATATATATATATATATATATATATATATATATATTAGGGTGATCGATTATTCGACATTTAAAAAAAACCGGTTGATATTTTTCAAATTCAGAAAAAACCGGTTTTTCATTATAATTAAAAAAAATATATTTTAATTTGAAAATCTTAATGTCTATGTTTAAATTTGATTAATAAAATAATAACTTTAGATCTAGTCGTCTGATTTACATTATTTCTTTAATATAAAAAAATTAGGAAAAAAGTGGGACACTTCTGTTAAACATAAGGTACTATGTAATCCTAGCTTATTTTAAAAGCCCTGTTTAGGAAATTTGCATAGGCATTCCAACTCTTCCATAAAATTTCAGCCGTAAATTAATTATTGTAATTGGAATATAATCTTAAGATTGCTAAATTTTATCAAACAGTTATCAATTTTACAAATAAATTTTTTAATTAATTAGGAAAATCAAAAAAGTTTAACCAAAAGAGCTGTAGAAAATGTACTCTAGTTCCTCGACTCGAATATTTTTAAAATTTAGACGGGCTGTATTATTATTTACTTAAAAATTTCATTTAAATAATCTTTGAATACAAAGCAAATACAAAGTATTCGAAACCGGGTTTTAAAAAGTGAAAAAACCGGGTTATTCGATATTCGAAAAATCAACATTAAGAAAAAACCGACACTGGTAAAGCAGAAAAAACCGGTTTTAAAACCGGTTGAAAAATCGAGTCGATCACCCTAATATATATATATATATATATATATATATATATAATATATATATATATATATATATATATATATATATTAGGGTATTCAAACGATTAATCGTCGATCGGTTAATCAATGAATTTTTGTCGATTAATCGTTCGAATAAATTAAAAATGCCAAATTGCGAATAATGAATAAACCGAATAATTTCCATCAAATAACCGATTAATAATAACTCACTTTTTAAAAGTAAAACAGATATATATTTCATACAAAATTCAATATCTTTATAATAAATTTTCTTCCTTTAATTTAATTATTTTTCAATAATGAAGAAAATTTATTTTATGATTTTTATATAAATTCTTCAGAAACATTTTTGATTTACCTACTTTTAGCATGGGTTCATGCAGAATCCCTTCAGATTCTTGAACAGCAATCTTAAAAATAATGAATATTGCTGTGTTTCTTAAGTATTTCTAATAAGTTCTTCGTAGTGCAGTAACATTCTACTAGTATTGATTACTCAATACTACTCAATACATATTTAATACTACTCGATACTTTAAACGGCTTTAATTTAAAAACGAGGAATTTATCTGCTATTTCAGTAAAGTAAGACCAGGCAACTCATTTTTGAGTTAAATTCTTAACTATGTAAATTACCAAATTTTTCATACCCTACACCACTATAATGGGAATGGTATTATGCGTTTATGCTGATGTTTGTAACACATTAAAATATTAGTATCACTTTCTGAGTCGATTTGACGATTTAACGAATTTACTTTTGTTTTGAGCCAATGACGAAGGCTATTGAAAATGGTTAAAATTGGTACATTAATTAACCTAGCCCTCATACAACTGAACCATCCGAAATGGCTTTTGAGATCATAAATATAGATGTATCTCGATGAAAGTTCGCACAACTAAGTTTTATACAAGCCTTGATTAATTACCTTGCCGAATTTCGAAATTTCAACTTCATTTGAACCTAGCCCCCATACAAAGCCCCCTTCAGAAAGGTAATATCCAGAGGATTTTAAGGAGAATAAATAATTTCTAATATTTGAAAAATAATAATTCAAAAAATGACATAAAATTGAACTCAAAATAATTGAATATTATCATTTTCTGGATTAAAAGAATAAAATTAATAAAAAACATCAATTTTACTTTTATTCGATTAACCGAATAATTTTGAATTATCGGATTATTAACCGGCTAACATAAAACCTCAAATAATTATTTGTCGAATAAACCGAATAATCCAAACACACGAATAATTAAATACCCTAATATATATATATATACACGTCGAGTTTTACCCTGTTAGCCTTATTTATCAATGAATTATGCGCATTTAAGTGATTTTCTGATGTGGACCTTATATGGGAGCTATGACCAATTATGGACCGATCCAAAAAAAAATCGTAAAGTAATTAATATTTATACACAAAATTAATATTATACACATCATGCAGAATTTTATCCCGATAGCTTTATTTATCAATGAATTAAGCTTTTTAAGTGATTTTAGGATGTGGACCTTATATGGGAGCTAGTTCCAATTGTGGACTGATCCGGAAAAAATTTCACTGAATGATTTATATCTATATACAAAACATATTCACCTCGAGTTTCGGATGTGGATCTTTTATGGGAGCTATGACCGATTATAGACCGATCCGGAACAAATTTCGTAGAGTAATTCATATACACACAAAACATTCATGTCGAATTTTATCCAGATAGCTTTATTTATCTATGAATTATGTTCGTTTAAGTGATTTTCTGATGTAAACCTTATATGGGAGCTATGACCAATTATGGACCGATCCGGAAAAAAATTCCGTAGAATGATTTATGTATATACAAAAAATATTCATGTCGAATTTTATCCCGATAGCTTTATTTATGAATAAAATATGTTCATTTAAGTGATTTTCGAAAGTCGACCTTATATGGAAACTATGACCAATTGTGGACCGATACAGATCTAAGTCCATAGTTTTGATTCCTGTTCATATAATGTCAATATGTACAAAATTTTGTATTGATA